GAGTCACCTGGGTAGCGTTCATGAGATACGTCGCTTCCAGAACTGCCTCTGGCATCAATGAGCGGGTCATCACAAGCGCCTGCTGTCTTTACCTCACGCGTGTCAGGCAGGAGAGATTTTGTTTCAGTACGGTCTTCATTCTGTGCCACGGTGGAGCAGCGTCCACTGACACGCTCCATTGAAGCCACACCGCATTTCTTTATCTCCTCATCTGCCGCTCGTGTCAAGGTCGGTGAGATCTCTTCTGATCTCGAGTTTTCACACATTTTACCGGGTACAAATTTGATCTGTCTGTCTCGGAGGGAGACAAGCACAACTTCTGGTTCCGATGCAGGCACGGAAATCTGTTCAGGCACCGGAAGACGGTTATGTCTGGCGCCTGAGCTATCAGATTCTGCGTCTTTCCCCTCTCGGAGATATCCCTCCGTCTGTTCCGGGTGCAATGGAGGCGGTTCTACAATCACGCTGATTCCGCAAGTGCTGAAGAACTTTCTCTCAAGAAAACCTTCTTTCTTTGGCCCAGTTTCCGCGTTGGTCCGTTCGTCACAAGCCTGTTCTTCCGAATTATTGATGCTTCTTGAGCAGATCCGATGAGAGACAAATGAAGGACAACTTCGTTGATAGTCTACGGTATTGGCTTTATCGTCAAATAAACGCTGTTTTTGTACTGAACAAGGCGTGTTCCCACCCAATACATCATTTTTGACAAGAGAAATGAACTGAGAGGCAGGGATGCAATGGGCACTGTCCTGGGGGTTTCGAGAACGATCAACCGTCTTGACCTTTTGCAGCTCATCATCTGTACACTCCGCTTGGTCTGCGGTATCCTGCTCGCCAGAGCATTTTACTAGTTTCTCTTTTGAGACCATCACCTTTTCCCTCAGGGATCCTGTGCTGGTCGCTTCCTCTTGAATACTTTGCCTGGATTCTTCTTGTTGACCTCTGACATCCTCTTTAGACCCGAAAGGGCTACTTCCAGAAGAAGAGTCAGGATCATTGAGGTCGAAATTGTCTCTGCATTCATAGCTCTCTTCCTCGAAATTGTGATGACAGTTTCTGTCTTCAATACGAAAGACACTGTCGGAAGCAAGAGCAGCGACATCTTCGGGTACATCTGATGAGTTCGGGACAACCAAAGCCTTGAACACGTCGGCAAACATACGATCAACTGTGGCGTGAGCTTTGCCGATGCGAGGTTTTGATTGGGATAGAGATCTCGACCGGGAGTTGTGTTGTCGGCGGCTTGAGTACGGTGAGATATTCTCATCTTGCCCGAGAAGCGACAACATTCCACGGTCAATACCGCCACCTGTTTGACTAGTTGTGACAGCATCGTGCATTTGATATAGATAGGTACCATCTTTTTCCAGCTTGTCGATTGGTATATCAGTGTCTCCCTGGTCGCCAGCTGTTCTCGGACAGGACGATTCAATATTTCTGCTGACTGCAACCCTGCCAGGGCTGTGACTTTCCCCAACGTCTATTGTCTCGGTCTGGCGATGATCTAACGCAGCTTTGTTGATGCTCCGGTGTGACCCCAAGCTGTTTGGCAACTCGGGCTGTCTCTTCAGATCAGACTCAATACGAGCCTCTGAGCCCAAAAACACTTCTCGTGCTAACGGGTCAAAGGATGTATAAGAGGAATTGAAGCCGCTGGGAGGAATCATTCCACGTGGTTTGTGTTTAAAAGAGTGCTCAAAGGGGCGTGAATGTCCGAGACTTGCTCTCAAACCAGTGTCAGCTGAATCATAATACTTGGAATCCTGTGCCATACACCGTTTTGAAGTGCATGGTCTCGACATGGATCGACGCTCCCCAATCTGTATAGAAGACGTCTGAGGCTGTCGATGAGGATGGCGTACTTCTGTATCAAGGTCCTCATGTTCATCTTCACTTGAGCTTCTGTTCATTTTAACAGAGAGTTTAAAAGAACTAGAAGGGTAGCCGGGAAAAGCGAGGCTGATGACCCCCAGCGCCTCCGATTCCCCATCGGAAAATACCTCGGTCTTGTTGGAAGAGCCACTTGGATAGTGAATGTTGGAGCTGGAGGCTTCCGGTCGGCGCGGTTTGCGATATCGCGGTATTACTGGCATTGCTCTGGCTGGTGATACACGTGCACTGACTGTGACTCAGTGCATGGCATGACAACTCAAAATAGATACCTTCTGTGGAAACGCTATTATTTTTGTACATAGGAAGCCACAGGTTTCTCCACAGTAGAATGTATAGGATTTAAAAGATTTTTCGAGCAAAAGGGGGTTTAATTGTTGCACTTTTCTAATTTCTCTCGAAAGCAAAACTTATGTTTTGTTCTAAGATGTAATTAGTTTAGAGATGTACGTGGCTGTTTGTTTTAAAAAGGCGCTTCGTATTAGCCTCTAAACCATGGATCAAGATGCCTGATCCAAAGCACAGATCCAGTGTCTTCTTAGCCTCTTTTTTGTCTCTCTCTTTTTTCCCTTTCCTGATGTTTTCCTTCTCTCGCTTTGCTTTATGTTCCTTTTGTTTGTCTTTTCGAATGTAACATCAAGTCACTTCCGTTTTACATCGGTGCTTCGAGACGCGCTCTTTACAAGGTCAGCAGATAATAATATCTGCTGGAAAAGAAACCAATCAGCGAGCTAATACGGTAGTTGAAGAAATCCACAGGGGCCGCTTGCTGATAAATACAATCAGGAAACTTCAAATTATGCGGTTTTTTGGGACAGGTCTTAAATAGACATTGGCTTAAATATCAAGCTCTTGCTGGCAAAATTAAAGGCAAACGAGACCGGGATAGACCCAGAACAATCTACTTGGAGAGCCTAAACCTGGGTGATCGGGAAAGACCAGGATAATGTAGGGTTATTTTTTTTTTAAAGCATGCGAGCAAAGATAGGCTACATGTATGAATAGAGAATCATGATCGCCAACGTCAGTCACAGATCTACTGGCGCTTGAGAATAATAAACAACTAATAATGAATGAGGGTAGCCGGGAAAAGCGACGAGGCTGATAACCCCTGCGCCTCCGATTCCCCTTCTGAAAATACCTGTCTTGTTATATTGAAGAGCCCACTTATTGTTCTTCTCGGTAAAACTACATTTCGAACCCACGAACCGTTTTAAATGACACGAAAGCGTCTTTTTTTGCGTGATGTTACGGCAACCCACATGATGCAGCCCTGCTGAGAGTGGAGATCCCACTATAATATGCATAGTTTATCAATAGTTCCAAAAGGGAGGCCCAAGTTTACTTTTACGCAACCTCTTGCAGAAGTACACAGCATGCCGTGGAGAGGATCGAGTCGGGCTAGTGGCATTATTATGCTTAGTGCAGGATGAGTAATTAGGGAACTGTGTAGTAATTTTTTTTGGGTGGGTTTTATTATTTTATTTTATTTATTTATTT